TCGTTGGTGGTGATCTGGAATCATCGATTTGACCGGCTGCACACTTCCTGCTACATCTCAGCGCAGCTCCAGGGCCCTCCCAGTAAGTTCTCATTTGTTTTCTGGGAAAGCTAACCTCCCCAAAGAAGCTGGGGTCTTGTCCTGTGAGGAGGGTTCAGAGGAAATGTACATGAGCTAAACCCCTCACCACTCCTGTTGGGGTGGAAGGTGGGAGGGAAAGAAGGAGTTATACTAGTCCCATTTTCTACTTTTGCTAGAATGTTTTTTCCTACTGAAAATTCTTGATTATCCTTTGATCTTTCATCACTCTTTCCACACAGTTATTCTCCTTGTTTCTGACTACTGACTAGGCTTTAAGAATTAAATACCTGTCTGGTGTGCAAGGTCATGTTCAATTCTCTAAACAGTTCAGGGGCAAATACATTTATCTAAGTATGTACTGGTTTTCCACCAGGAGGATTCACACACTACTAGGAGCATGTGATGATCTGGAAGGTGACACAGAATGCTTTAGACTGCTTGCAATAATTATACAGCATTCTTAACTCATTGAAATAAGCAGTACTGCTTTCAGAGAAAGGACAGGAACTAGAGTGCATGAAAGAGATTTGTTGATGGGATCCAGAAAGACCTAGTATTCTCTTTACACAAATAATCATGTCTCGATGGCAAAATTTTGAAAGGTCCATCTCAACACATCTAGGACTATCTGGTGAAGGAAACTGGAAGGAGTTTGGCAGGATATCTAGGATTTGTTTGGTCCCCCTGAGGAACAAATTGCTGGAAGTTATGCTTGGTAAGATGTGGACCTCTAGAAAGATGAATCCAGGACAATGCTACAGCTGACAGAAATGCTGTAGATTCTTGGGTGTAACCATTCAGCTGCATACTCACTCAGTTGAGGTAACTTGAATCTCAGAAACAAAAAATAAACTTGAAACATGTTTTCTTTTCAACAAAGAAATGTTTCTGCAACAAAATCTCTGGGATTAATTTGCTTAGAGATGTCTTGGATAGCAGATGTTCCATTTATGCTTTATTTTAAATAAAAGTTTGTTCTTTGTTTATGATTTAACTTTTGTGCTTTGGAGCATTTAATGTGGCAACTTTTTCTCTGTGCTCTTTATTTCCCCTTCCACTTTTCCAGAAGTGTTGTTATGAATGATACGTTCTTTCTTGGATTTGGGTAATACTGTTGTCCTGCCTAAAAACCAGCAGTATGCTTAAGAACAGTTAACAGTGTCCATATGCTACTAGCTGATTGATCAGTAAACCTTCCTTCAGAGAAACTGTAAAGAAAAGATCTATGAAAGAAAAATCAGAACTGAAACAAAAGAGCAAAATAATAAAAAAAAATCAAATATATTTTTCCAACATTCTTAAATTTCATATTATTCTGAATTTAGTCTGTTACAATCTCCAAACTTTAGAGTCTTGTTACTTCAGTTAATTATATGTCCAGTCTCATTGTGCTTGGTAAATTTAGTTTCTTTCTCAGTGTAAAGGAAATGCTACAGCCTATCATGCACAAACACACACACATATGCATACACACATGCATATACATACATAATTTCATGACTTAGGTAGGTTGTTTCTATTCTCTGAGTAATTAAAGAATGGAGAAAATGAAAAGGAGGACCTGGTCTTGGAATAAATTATTTGAAATCTGTGCAGAAGGAACTAGAGTTTTCTGGGAAACTCTTAGGCCCTTCTGGGTAGGGCTTGTGGGAGGGTGTGGCAACTGGTTGTATGAGAGGGAGGGAGAAGAGGAGGGAGGGAAAGAATAGAGAGGTAAGAAGAAGATGAGACAGAGAGAGAAATAAACACCTTAGGAAAGTTTCTTTATGCTGTATTTGGACTGACATTGTAAAAGATTTTGATCAGAAACAAACTTAAGAGAGTCTTAGGGCAATTTTCTTGTAGAAACAGATGTCTTTGCAAGAACAAGAAAATAAACATGAAGATGTCATGCCGGAGCAAAGAGTTCTCAGTTGGCAGTTACAGAAGTTATTTGGTGAAGGACCGGATCAAAATTATATTTTGTACTAAACAGCTGACAGCTGGCGTCAATTGTCAGTAAATTGTGCTTAGTTTAGCTTCCTTTTTTAAAAAACTATTTCATATCTTTGATGTACTAGTTAATGTGCTGTGGATTAAATAATCAATGAAGAAGATCTGGTTTCTGCCTTCAAAGAGATTGCTTGTTGGGTAGACATAAGGAAACACTCATAATGTATATGGTATGTGTAGTAGTAGAAGTTAGCATTTCAGCACAGGGAAGGCAGAAAGTCATGAGAATGGAAGAGGTATTGCTGAGATTAGGAGCAGTTCAGTTTGGAAGTGAAGATGGGTATTAGAATGTGAAGAGAAGTGAGAGCAGTAGGTAGGGATGGTGTCCAGCTGTAGATGTCATACTAAGCAGCTGGGATTTTCTTTTACAGTCCTGTGTAGGTGCAGGTGCAGGCCCCTTCATGGGAGAATAAAGTAATCAAAATGCACTTGGAGCAACCCATGAAATATGAAATGCATCCATCAGATGCATATTGGGGCTACTCAGGGATCAGCAAGAACAGGAAGTTATTCCTACCTCCAACTGAAGAGAGGTGGAGGGGGGGCCGTGGCGGGAGATCAACAAGGTGGTATGACCAAGATCCAGAAACCAAGGCCATCCGAGGAAACAGAATTATAAGGGATCTGTCCTATGGAAAAGAGAGCCTTGGAGGACCAATGAGTCACTTCTCCAAATAAGGGAGAGAGAGAAAGGAGGGCAGAACTTGTTCCTACTGCTTGCCTCCTTAGTGACTTATCTCTATCAGGAACCCTGACTTAGAACTCTGCATGTGCCCTCTGTGAAACTCAGTCCTCCTGTGGTATAAAAGAGAGGTCAGGGAAAGGTGGTGGGTGGGGCTGGGTGCACACAGATACAGCCAAGCAGTGCCACCGGGCTCAAAACCTATTTCTGAATTCAGAGCAGCAACCTTTGTCACAGTGTGATAAATTACTAGTAGGATTTTGCTTCTGAATGTTCTTTATACTAAACAAATGCATCTTACAATAAAAGCTAATATGTTATATTATTTGAAGCAATCTGGACTGTTTAGGGAAACCACATGATCACAAGGGAACTCTGTCCAGTAAATGTAACAGCCTTAGAATAGGAGTACTACTTTACTGTCTATACCCATTGCAAATCCTCACTCAAACATAGACTCTGAAAGCCTTGCCAAATACATATTTGAATAAGTGTAAGCATCATATATGTCCTAAATATCAGTTTATCTGTTAAATACATGGATTTCTGAGTAAAAGCAAAAGAGGAAGGAAAATGTCTTATAAGACTATTTCAGTTATTATGGTAGGAAATAGAAGGGAATAAGCTACTATAGTAAAAACGATTAGAAGAGACAGGTGGAGGAGAGGAGTAGGCAACCAAGGTAAGGGGTCTTTTAAGTCTGAGGACTGGAGGAAATAAGGAAAAAAATAAGAAAATAATGGCTACCTCTCTTTTGATCATTTGGTATTTGTGTCAATGGGAATTGTGTTGATTGAAACTTGTCACGTGGATGGAGGAAAAAGTATTGGGGTTAGGAATTCTAAGTAAAGTGTTCAACATTTTAAATTTAGGAGCTAGAGAGAGGTGGGATTTATATTTGAGGATATTTTTTATATAATTACACTGTAAGATTCTTTTCTATACAGGCTCACTTTCCCCCCATTTTTGTTATCAGGTATTAACTTAGGGCCTTACACTTGGGGCACTTTACCACCTGAGCCATATTCCTATCCTTTTTAATTTATTTTATATTGTTTTTGTTGTTCTGTTTCTGAGGCTTGAACTCCGTACCTGGGCTCTGTCCCTGAGCTTTTATGCTCAAGGCTAGTACTCTACCACTTGAACAACATCCTCACTTCTGGTTACTTTTTGGTTTGTTTTCATAGCTAACTGGGGAAAAGAGTCTCATGGATGTTTCTGTCCAGGCTGGCTTTGAACTACTATCCTCAGATCTCAGCCTCCTGAGTAGCTAGGATTACAGGCGTAAGCTACCAGCACCTGCCTTTATTTTACTTTCTAAATAAGTTTTCATGTTTTTGCCTAGGCTGGCCTTGGATAATCTTTCCCAGGAATATGATCTTTCCCACTTAAGCTCCCCATGTAGCTGAGATTACTGGTGCACACTGGCACACATGGCTATTTGGTTGAAATGGGGTCTCACCAACTTTTTCCCAGGACAGGCCTCAGAAGGCAATCTTACTGAACTCTTCTAGGATTACAGATAAACATCACCAAACCTAGTTGTAGAACACAAACTGACCAATGCACAAGAAAATGTAGCCATGCAACAGAGTCTATTTTGAATTAGCTTTGATTAGTATTTCTAAAATTTGGCACCAGGCTCAGAGGTTAATTTTGTCCCTTTAGTTTCATAGTTTGATTTTATATATTTAGTTATAAGTTCAAAGCAGTTAAAAGTTAAACTTCATTGAAAATTAATTTGGTGAGTTTGTAGCAGGTATAAAATGGATGGTTTTCAATGTTTATCCCACTTAAAATGAAAAGTAGCATTCCTAGATCTGTTTCTTGGTTGTAGAAAAGAAACTTGCCTTATGGCACCATTGTATACATATTAAAGGCATGATTTACCTGAAATAGAGTAATTAAGGAACATGTTTTATTAAGATAAAGCACTGTGCCATTCTGGAGGTTAGAGGAAGCTAACTAGAGCCTTAACCCAAAACTACAATAATTCCTTTGGGATATTTCATTGCTTCCCTCTGTTTTCCTTATTTCCTATGTCTTGTTCTCTTTCTTTGAGGAGATATGCTTTATTAGTGTGTACAGTACAGAGTGCAAGTTTCGATTATGGTAGTTCTATGTGTATCATGTGCATTAATCATACCCACCACCTCTAGGCTCTAGGCCCCACATTTTTTCCTGCCATTTTTTTCCTGCCATTATGACCTCTTCTTGTACTACCTGTAGGCCAAGTGGAGTCCTGCTGAAAATGGGCCCAATAGATGACGAGGTGGAAGAGAATCAGACAGCAGAAGAGGTGAAGATAGAGCTGTATGGGCCAGGGCACACCACTCCTAAAGGGGACCTGGCCCCTGACCCTGAGCCCCAGCTCATAGACAGCACCAAATTACTGGAGGTGCGGGTTGTCCTCATCCTGGCCTATTGCTCCATCATCATGCTTGGAGTAGTTGGTAACTCTTTGGTGATCCACGTGGTGATCAAATTCAAGAGCATGCGTACAGTAACTAACTTCTTCATTGCCAATCTTGCTGTGGCAGATCTTTTGGTGAACACCCTGTGCCTGCCATTCACACTCACCTACACCTTAATGGGGGAGTGGAAAATGGGTCCTGTTCTGTGCCACCTGGTACCCTATGCCCAGGGACTGGCTGTACAAGTGTCCACTATCACCTTGACAGTAATTGCCCTTGATCGGCATCGGTGTATTGTATACCACCTGGAAAGCAAGATCTCCAAACGCATCAGCTTCCTGATTATTGGTATGGCCTGGGGTACCAGTGCCCTGCTGGCAAGTCCTCTGGCCATCTTTAGGGAATATTCATTGATTGAGATTATTCCAGACTTTGAGATTGTGGCCTGTACTGAGAAATGGCCTGGTGAGGAGAAGAGCATGTATAGTACTATTTATAGTCTTTCCTCCTTGCTAATCCTGTACCTTTTGCCTCTGGGCATCATATCTTTCTCTTACACTCGGATTTGGAGTAAGCTGAAGAACCACATCAGCCCTGGAGCTGCAAGTGATCACTACCATCAGCGAAGACAAAAAACAACTAAGATGCTGGTGTGTGTGGTGGTGGTATTTGCGGTCAGCTGGCTGCCCCTCCATGCCTTTCAGCTTGCTGTGGACATTGACAACCAGGTCCTGGACCTGAAGGAGTACAAACTCATCTTCACTGTGTTCCACATCATTGCCATGTGCTCTACTTTTGCCAATCCCCTTCTGTACGGCTGGATGAACAGCAACTACCGGAAGGCTTTCCTTTCAGCCTTCCGCTGTGAGCAGAGATTGGATGCCATTCATTCAGAGGTATCTGTGACTTTCAAGGCTAAAAAGAACTTAGAAGTCAAAAAGAACAATGGCCCTACTGACTCCTTCTCAGAGGCTACCAATGTCTAAGGAAACAGGTTGGAAATGTAGAGCGAATTCTGACCAGAGCTGTTCATCTGGTTGAAGCATCTGCTTGGGGTTGCATGTCCATTTCCCATTTTAAGTACTGAAGAAAATATGCATGGAAGCATCTGTGATTGGTGTATTTTCTGGAAAGCTGGCTAGCAGAGTCTAGGTGAAAGTACTCACATTCAAAGATAAGTCCACAAAAGGTTGCTCAGATGATAGGTTAAATAAGAGCAAAAGTAGTGAGAAATACTACTATTGTTTGACTGTGCCAAAAAGTAGTGAAATTGAACAATGAATATGAATTTTCAACATGGCTAGGATAGGACTAAGCTGGTTGACTTTCTCATCTCCTCAGGACCTGCCTGGGATGTTGCGTACTTTCTTGTTCCTCTAAGGGGTAATTGGCCATACTGTATGGTCCATGTTTAGTCTTCACATAGATGAAATCCAAAGAAGAACACAATAGGTAAACATTACTAACTGATTGAATGACTTCATGATGAGTTCAAAGGGATACACTGAAATATGCTAGATGATAAATACTTTCATCATGATGGAGAGAATTCTGAATACTCAGTGGTCAGTTGTTTTTACAAATAAAATACACATTTGGAGAAATAGTTTAGAAATTGGAACCAAAGGCTGAAACTCTCAGAAGTACAAGATGTGTAAATCATTATTTAATCTCTCATTTAAGTCATTCCTACAATATAAAAATACTGTAAACAGTGTCTTATGCCTGTAATCCTAGCTGCTTAGGAGACTGAGATCTGAAGGTCATAGTTTGAAGCCAGCCTGGGCAGAAAATTTCTTGAGTCTCTTATCTCCAAGTAACTATCCAGGCTGAAATGGTAGAGTGCTAGTTTTGAGCAATCAAGCTCAAAATAGTGCACAAGCTCTGAGTTTAAGCCTCAGGACTGGCACAAAAAATGGTTTAGCTAACAAATAAGTAAACAGTTTACTATTTTATATGATTGTAAGTTGGTGTAACTTTTCAGGCTATGTAATTTCAGTTCTTGTGTTGAAGAGAAGTTTGTGCTAATAACAAAATCAGATTAGATTTTTTTTGCCATTTCATAGTTATGAGCAATTCTTATACCAGGATGTAGTTCTAATATCCTTACAGGATACTATAGGATTTTTTCCTTTAGAAATTATTTTCCCTGGACCCATTCATTGTAAATAAAATATAATTTTATTTAAATGAACCTATGTGTAAAGAAATACTAAGAAACCATTAGAAATGTTCCATTTAAACCAATTTTAAGCCATTTAACCTTTCAAAACTATTCTTCTATACTTTTGACTAACATGAATACATAAGAAAACTATGTCAATAAGTGGTAGAATGTATATGCTAGGGTACTTTTCACTGATGTTATGAATACAGTTTTTAATTTCAATAGCACTAACCAAAGATTGGTTTCTTATTATTCAAGAAAAATAAATGGGATGTTAAAATAGTTGCACTTATTTGGATGCTATACAAGAAGTGTCAGAGTAGTTCTGTTTTTGTAAATATAGCAGAATTTGTGAATATATTTCTCCCATTTTATGTAAATTCAACATGAGTATTGCATTTTGTTATATTATTAATCATATGGATATATTTAAGTTTCATATTGTGTCTTTTATTAAATTCCCTCCATGAAAGAAATTAGGAATGGTTTTGAAATAAACTACATTTTTGGAATAATGAAAAAAGGGAAATAATAGAATCAGATTAGAAGGGAAAAGAAGAAGACCTCAGCAAACAATTATACACACACATGAACACACATATATATGTCTTTGAAATATCATATTATTGAAGAACACATTTTTCTGTTTGGTTCAGCATAATTGTTTAAGGCAAAGCTTTGCTCATTTTATATAGAAGTTACTTTAAGATGTTAATAGAAAATTGTCACAAAATTTTCTCCCCTGGAAGAATTGCTAGCCTGTGAGAATGGTGTATAGTACTTTGTGTCCTGCTGTGATAGTAAATTATTAATGTTGAGTTTATGATTCAATTAATATTATTTCTGGTCCAACTAAATGATCCAACTAACTATGTCAATGCATCTATTAAATATCTTTTCATGTAGTGATTTAATTATTGGAATAAAAATGTTTTCTGAATCAGAAAATTGTGTGGAACTTTAGTCATGTCATAACTTTTCTATCCTGTACTTCCAGCTGTCGATGGATCTACTTATTACTGCTATTACTGTCAACATTGTATCAAGCTTAATACTTTCTTTATACCATATCTTCTTTTATGTTTAGCTCTGAACTTGTATCTCTACCTGCCAATGGAAGGAGTTGGAATGGGTTCCACCCATTCCTCAAACAAAAATGTCCGTTGTAGTGCAAATTCCCTGCCAACCCTTTTACAACTGTGATTGCTACATATTAGTCTCCTAGCACGTTACACTCTAGGATCACACTTGATTTCTCTTGTTTTTATTCCACAAATCCATTCATTATTGTATCTCATTCTAATTCTAGGTGTTTTCTGAATTGTTACCCTTTTATTCTATCCACATTCTCAATTATAATTATCTCCTAGATTCCCATTTTCTATCATCTGGATTAATGTAGTATTTTCTTAATTGTTCTTTTTTTCTTCTTTCTTTCTTTATTTTTTTTTGTCATTCGTGGGCCTGGTCCCTGTCCCTGAGCCTTTTTACTTTTTTCGCTCTACCATTTTGAGATGCAGCACCACTTCCAGTTTTCTGGTGGTTAAATGGAGATGAGAATCTCATGGACTTTCCTGCACAGGCTGGCTTTGAACAGTGATCCTCAGATCTCAGCCTCCTGAGTAGTTAGGATTACAGGCTTGAGCCACCAGTGCTCGGCTTAGTTGTTCTTTCTACATCTTGTCATCTCAAGCAATAAAACTTTTACCAGCTTGAAATAGCATTTTTTTTTCCAAATCTCAGAGTCTATCAAATAACTATACTGACTAAAATTCTTCCATGTGTCTTTTTAAATAACTATATAATATTGTGGGTGCTAGGATTTTAACTCAGGGTCTCATACCTGCTAAACAAATACTCTACCATACCTCTATCCTTATTTTTCAGATAGTATCTTTATCTTGTCTCACTTTTTTTTTAATCTACCTCTCTCATATAGCTGGAATTCCAGCTGGAATTACTATAACTGGTATGTTTATTGAGATGAGAAAGACTTGTTAATTTTTTGTTTGTTTTGTTTCATTTGCCTAGGCTGGCCTGGAAACACAGTCCACCCAGTCTCCTTAGAAGAAACTAGGATCACTGTTATGCATCCTCAAGCTTGGTCCATATTTTATCTCAGGCAAATTTTCTTTTCCTCCAATCTTTGCTGCTAGATTTTAAGCACCATGAGAACAAGTGACAGGCATTGTTTTATGATTTTGTATTTATAGGTACTTGAATGTCTACAACCAAATTTATATTTAGTAACTATCCACAAAGTAAACTGACTTGAACGGGTAAGCTTTTGAACATAAATCTGCATATTTACATTTTCTCCAACTTTTTATATATCTTGTAGGAAAGTCAAATTAAGGACACAAGAGTCCAGTAAAAAGTACTTATTATTTTAAGGATTATATTTTAGTTTTTGTTTGAAAGCTACTAAAAATAGATATTTTCATACATCGAAAGGAGTGAATTTCCAGGTGCCTATGGCTTAGGCCTTTAACCCTAGCCACTAAGAAGACAGATTTGAGGATTATGGTTCAAAGCCAGACCATTGCAGCAAACTATGAGATTCTTATCTCAAATTACCTACCTAAAAAGCTGAAGTGGAGCTGTGGCTCAAGTAGTAGAGCACTAGGGACAGTGCCCATGTCCGTAATTCAAACCCTATGACTGTCAAAAGAAAAAAAATGGAATGCATAAATTGCACTTATGGCTCACTCTTAAGTTATCTAAAACATTTCTACCAGGAAAAACTAGAGAAGATAATGAGGTCTATCAGTCATGACTCAATTAAGATGGAGAAGTCATTGTAACTATTTCTAACAGAAATCAATTTAGTACAAAAGATTAGAGTCCTTAAGAAAATCCATCATATCATCTGTAGAAGCAAAGATTGGAAAAGTCTCCACTAGCATTAAGGAAAACAGGAAATGAAAAATTAGAGGAAACCATAGCTAATGTCAATAGCGCTACACTAAATAATGCACTGGCCAAGGCCCAGACGTATCTGTTAAACTCTTGCTGCTTCCATCCTGTGGAACCAACACCCTGCTCGCTTTTACCTCTATAATAGAAGAACCTTCTATATAGTGTCTCTTTTGTGGAAGAGCTCAAGCCTTGCTGGTAGCCATTTAGACAGTTCTTAAAAGAACGAGGTGATGAGTTAGGTATAGGGTAAGATAACATTGGGACCTGGAGAATCATCACACTGTCTCAATCCTCTCTTCTCCCCATGCCTCTTTTGGTTCTTCAGAGTTGGCAACGATACAATTTGACTGTATCTCCCTCCACATCACTTTACTTCTTTTCAAGACCAATGTGTTAATAATATTCTCTAAAACCAACCCATTAGTACAAGTGGACTGATGTGTAATATGCAAGTCAAGGCCATCCATGGATTTTTATGGTATTTTGACAGGAGCAGAATCAGATAAGATAAACACTAAGCATGATATCAAGATGTGAGCAACAACTTAAAAACAGTACCAAAATCTAAATTCTCAACTAACTTCCCAAGATGACCAAAAGGAATTAATGATATCTTAAAAAAATGGTTTTAGGGCTGGGAAGGTGGCTCAGTGGTAGAGCGCTTGCCTTGCATGCCTGAGGCCCTGGGTTCCATTCCTCAGCACCACATAAGCAAAAAAGAAAAAAGCCAGAAGTGGCACTGTGGCTCAAGTGGTAGAGTGCTAACCTTGAGCTGAAGAGCTGAGCGACAGCATCCAGGCTCAGAGTTCAGGCCCCATGACCGGACCCAAAAAAACCAAAAAACCAAAAAAAAAAACCCCCAAAAAAACAACAACAAAAAATGATTTTAAAATTTTTCATTCAGGAAGTGGCGCTGTAGCTCAAGTGGTAGAGCGCTCGCCTTGAGCTGAAGAGCTGAGGGACAGCGCCCAGGCCCAGAGTTCAAGCCCCATGACCGACAAAAAAAAAAAAAAATTTTCATTCAATAGGAGATGCAATATTAATGTATAGATATATAGATGATACAAAGCTATTCCATATTTTTATGTGTCTAGTGCATGTTCTTATACATTAAACAAAAGGTGGAGATTTTGTTCATCTCATGGTTAGTAGATTAATTTATGA